ACTGACCCAGGATGCCCCAAGAGGCCCCGAAGACGGCTCAAGAGGGCCTCCTCCTCCTCCTCCTCGTCGTCGTCGTCGCCCTCATCGTCGTCGTCGTCGTCGTCATCGTCGTCCTTGTCGTCGTCTTCGCCGTCGCCCATCGAGGGGCGCAAGCGAAGGTCCCAAGAGAATCCTCGTTGTCAGGGTCGGCGGCACCAGCCGTAAGGTCTTCACACAATCGAACACAGAGGAGAGAGAGAGAGAGAGAGAGTGAGGACGAGAGAGGGAGGATGAGAGAAAGGATGCGAGGGGGGAGCGAGGGGGAGTGGGGGCGAGGAGCGAACGAGGTCCCACCTTCGCGGACCAGACGAACTTACCTGGAGGCCGCTTGAGTATCTTCCCCTAGCCGACGATGCAAGCACTGGGCCTCGTGCCCACCAGGCTCACTGGTTCTGGCCTCCCTCACGCCTCCTCCCTCCCTCTCTCCTCCTCCCCCTCTCCCCCCCTCCTCCCCCTCCCCCCCCCTCATCCCTTCCCCATCCCCCGAATCCCTCCGCCATTCCCCTTCCCACTTCCCTCCTTCCCTGCACGTTGCTCCCTGTTCCTGGCGCCCCCCCTCCGCCTGTGGCCCGTGTCCTCCTTCCTTGTTCTCCGCTCCACGTTCTCTGTTCTCTTTGCCGCCTTGCCGCCGCCGTCTATTCCCAATCTGCCCGAGCGCATCTAGATGCGCATCTGCCCCAATCTCCTCCTCCTCGTATTATGTTCTCGTCTCTTCAACCTCTCCTCCTCGCCACCTTCCTCCTCCTCCTCCTCCTCCTCCTCCTTCTCCTCCTCGTCCTCCCGCTACCTCCCGTCCAAATCATCATTTCTTCCTGCTCATATTCCTCCCCTTCCTCCTCCATCCCTTTCCCCCCTATATATATATACATGTATATAGAGCCTCCTTGTCGCACCACCAAACGTGTTGGTAGGGCGGGTCGGGCGTTTCGCCTGTGACCCCCTCACATCTACAACAATGAAGTTTGAATTTCTCAACAATTACACCGATGAACGGGGGTCGATCAAAATGGGATTCTCGCACCTGCGCCACGCACACTCGCCCGACAAGCTTGCAGAAGCTACAAAGGTGGAGGAACTTGTTTTCAAACAGAGGCTCGCAACTTAGCGCCGCGCACATTCAGACGACACGCTTGCGTACGGTCTGAAGCCCTTTACAACAACTTGAATGGCCGAGGACGGTGGGCTTCCAACATTTGGCTGCCTCGTGATGTTGCACCGAAGTGGCGACCATAAGCTTGCACACATGCAGCAACTGCACGGATGGAAAACAGCGTCTTTTCAAACTGGGGCTCTCGCTAGACAGATGCAATGCAATTCTTCGTGAGACGGGGCGCTCGCCCCAGTGGCCAACACGTCGGTGCTCGTACTTCAAGGGGGCGCTCCTTCCAGTGAGATGGACGGCTTGCATGGACTTGCCGAGGGTGGACCTGGGATCGGGGGTGTATTGCAGCACCGCTAACGCATCCCAGCTCTACCCTGACTCTCCTCATGCAGTTGAAGCTGATGGCGGCACTGTCAGATGAAGACTGGCGCTAGACCTCCCTCACCCGACATCTCTGGGGGGGGGAGACGGTGGAATCGAATCTCTCAGCAACAGGATCCCAGAAGAGGGGAGATATTATTGGGCGCGATGGAAGCTTTCGAAGGGGGAGGCAGGGGGGAGGATCGGCGGCGCGCCGGGAGGGGAAACGAGAAGGGGGCGGGCCGAATTATGCACATCAGGAGCGGGAGGGGCGCGAAGGGAGGAGGGGACGCCGCAGGCGGCGGAGCACGCTCAGAGTGTGCAGCCTGGGACGACGGAGGACCACTGCGATTGATGCTCTCGGGGAGGAGGAAAAGGAGATCTTGCCGTCGCTCGGAGGTCCATTCCCCGTGCGTTGTCTGCTTTCGTGCGCTCTGTTCCCCCAAGATGCTCGAAAATGAGCCACGACGGTCGGAGATGGGAGGAGGAGTGGAGATGGGATGAGCTGCTGTCGGTGCAGACCGGTGGGCACTCGCGGGATGGACTCCCAGCCAAAGCTCGGCACGCAGAGGCTCGAGCGAGGGAGAGCGGCGAGACAGGGGAACCGGCTGGGGTTCAAGCTGCGCGTCTGTGCGCACGTGGCAGGGGCACGGCGGGCGAGCGGCAGGCTGAAGGTGCGGTTGGTGAAAAGAGGGTGGGTGCTGTCCCGCGCAGGAGGAGGAGGATGATGATGATGAGGAGGAGGAGGAGGAGGAGGAGGAGGAAGAGGAGGAGGAGGAGGAGGAGGAGGAGGAGGACCAGTGTAAACCCAAGAGTCATCAACGGTGTTGGAGTAAACCCTCCCTCCCCGCTCCCTCTTCATAGGCCCCTACACGGACTCATTTCCACTGAGGGAACTGCCTCGTTTGAAGACAACCGTGTGAAGACCTGAAGCATGCCAGAACCCTATTTTCGGGATTCCAACGCCACAGATGAACCTGACTCTTGCGTCTTGACAATCCTGACTCGTGCCAGAACGCCTTTCCTGGGACATCAACACCGCGAACCAACGTAACTGATGCACCCTCATAATCCTGAATCCGTCCAAAACGCTTTCTCTAGTACGCTGACCACGGGAACTGCGAAACTCTTGCAAGTTTTGAGCAGCAATGTGCGCGGCGCTAAGGCGAGAGCCACATTTTGACAAGGAACCGCCCGCAATTCATGAAACTCTTACGATTCGAGCTCAGGCGAGAAGCACATTTTCAAAAGGAGCCGCCCTCAGTCCGTGAAACTCTTGCATTTTGTTTGACGAATGTGCGCGGCGCTGACGCGAGAGCCACAGTTTCAAAACCACCCGCCCTCCATCTGTGAAGCTGTTGTCAGCTTCTAAGTTCCAGGGCCTTAAATGGTAAGGAAGTCTCAGGCGAAACGCTTGGCCCGCCCTACAGATAGGTCCAGTGTGACAGGGGGAGGAATTCTATAAGGAGAAGGGAGGAGGGAGGAGGAAGGGCACTCCCTAGTGTGAGAGGGTGTCGCGGGCGGGGGTGCCGGGTGGGAGGCGGACAAGCGGCGGCTGGGGCGGCTGGCGCACTGCCGCCGCATGGGTGTCAAGGCCCACCACTGTGGCGTTACCTTAGCCCCCCGTCCCTGTCCCATAACCTCGCTGACTGATCACCGCTCCCACCAATACCCTTCTCACAGTCGTGGGGGAGGAGAAGGCGAGACGGGAAGCGGAAAGACGGAAAGTCGTTGACCCAACGGGTCAAAGGCGTGCAAGAGTCTCCGGCAAGAGGCTCGGATAATCCCACCAGCGCTCTGGGCGCAAGCGGTCTGGCGGGTTTCATTTTCAAGGTCCTCCCTTCCCCCTATTCGGGAAGGCTTACCCCCTCGCCCCCTTCCCTGGGTCTGGACGGGGGGGTGGCGCGAGGGGTTAGATCGCCCAAAACGACCCCAGATGGTCCCACGAGATCCCTAGCCCAAGATGGCTCAATATAGCCGAACATGGTTCAAGATAACCTCCGATATACCTCCAAGAAGCTCTCAGACGCACTTAAGGCGGTTAGAGGTGCTCTCGGGGCCTTCCGATGACCCTCTCAAGAGGCCCACATCCTTCAAAAACCCCATGTCCAATCAATGCTTTTTGTCTCCTCGCATTTCCGTTTCCGATGGGCCTTGGAGGCCTGACGATGACCCCAAGATGGCCCCAAAGAGCCCCAACATGGCCCCAAGAGGCTCCCAGGAAGGCCCCAAGAGCGCCCAAGAGGCGCCCAAAAGCGCCGCAAGAGGGTCCCAAGAGGCGATTAGTCAGCCTCCCAGTGGGGGACGCCGAAAACAACTTTCGCCCTTTTTGAACCATGGCTTCCAAGATCGCCCCAGGAGGGCCCCAAGATCCCCCCAACGAGCCCACAGAGACCCCCAAGACGGCTCCAAGTGGGCCGAGAATGCTGCCAACATGGCTCCAAGATGGCTCCAAGATGGCAACATGGCTCCAAGATGGCTCCAAGATGGCTCCAAGAGGCTCGCAGAGCGAAAGCTCCGCGAAGCCATGACGAGCCTGCTCAGGCTGCCCCAAGGATTCGGATTGACGCCCCAGCTCTTTGTCGCACTGCATGCTGCCCCACTTCCCTGATCAAGAGAAGTCGCCTGGGCATCGTTGCTGGATGGGTTGGTGGGGATATTGTTTGGCACGCGGGCTCGCGAAACAAGTCGAAAGCCAGGCAAAGGTAGGGGCTGGTGGGGATTTTTTTGTCACAGCCGCCAGCGAAGGCGCAGGCGGCGTCAGAAGTCGGCCGGGGCTACGGGCGAAACCTAATTATCCAGCGAGCGCACTCACGGCTGCCAGAGCTGCCGCCGAGGGACGCTGAGCGGCACCGGGGGCGCAGTGGGCCTACAATTCATGTGTGACGGGCCGCGAAGCAAAGGAATGGCGGGCGCGAGGGGGAAAGGGCGGCGAGGAGGTAGAAAAGGAGGGGGAGTGGGGTGGGGGGAGAGGGGAACGGCACGGGGCGTGGAGAGGGAACGTGCAATTGGAAGGAGGGATGGGGTATGCAGGCGGGAGACGGAAAAGGGGAGGGAGAGGGGGGCGGGGAGGCCGCAGCATGATCAGCAGCAGGAGGAACAGGAGGAAAGGGACCAGGACAACGCGAACGAGAGCGGAGAGGACCACCACTATAAGAAACACGACGACGACGCCGCCGACGACGACGATGGGCGAAAAGACGGGGGAGGGAGGCGGAATGCGGCTAAGAACATCTCCCCCTTCTCATCCGCATTTCTTGCGGCCGCGAAGGGAGAATGTGTCTCAACGGGATTCCAGCATCGGTGGGCAGATGAGGGGGCGGAGGAGGAGGAGGAGGAGGAGGAGGAGGAGGAGGAGGAGGAGGAGGAGGAGGAGAGCAGGAGGAGGAGGAGGAGGAGGAGGAGGAGGAGGAGGAGGAGGAGGAGGAGCGGGAGGAGGGGGAGGGGGAGGAGGAGGAGGCGGAGGAGGAGGAGGAGCAGACACAAACAAAACGAGAAGAGCGGTCTCCTAGCCGCGTGCGGACTGCCAATGCGGCCAGCAAGGTGGCGTGCAGGAACCCAGCGGCCGCCCAGAGGTCCTCGGCGCGGGATGGCGGCGCACGCACGGGACGACCTCCCAAGATGGGAGGTCAAGCGTAGAGGAGGAGTGGATCGGGGAGGGGGAGGGACGAGGGGGGGGGGGGGGAAAGAGGGAAGAGAAGGAGGGAGGATATAAGGGATCCATTCTTTGGAAGGGAGGTAAGAAATGGAAGGGATCGGGCAGGGCGGGAGACAGGCGGAAAGAGTGAAGAGAGGGAGGGAGGATGGGAGGATGGAGATGATCGCCTCCTGAGGGAGAGAAAAGACAGGGAAGGTGATCGGGGAGGGCAGAGGAAGCTATCGAAAAGGGCGGACAAGGGGAAGAGGAGGGAGAACGGCGGTGACGGACCCTTCAGGGCGGAGATAAGAGAGGGAGGGGGGACGCAGAAGGCTACGAGCGAGGAGGGGGGGAGAGGGAGATAAAGAGAAAGAGAGAGAGAGAAGCGCGAAAATGAGGAGGGCAGGATCGATGGGATTCGCCCCTATGAAAGAGGGAAGAGTGGTGATGGGGGAGGGGGGAGGAGGAACCGATCCAGCCGGGCGGAGAGAGGGAACACAACTATCCTGGCGAAGGACCCGACCATATGCAGTTGTGAATGCCGCGTTGTGGGTACCGTTTTCGGTCGAGCGAGCTCCATATGGAGACACGAAGCGCGTGAGAGTGCGCAATAGTGGGTTGAGACGCATGCCGCCGCGGCCACTGGGGTCTTCGGAGGACCTCCCTATGGGGCAACGAAGCGCTGTGCTGGGCGGGGGTGGGCGCCTGCGGCCGCGGCCACTGGCGACTTCGGTGCAGCTCGCTATGGGGCCGCGCAGCGCTGCACCTGCACTGGGTGGGGGAGACGCATGCGGCCTTCGGCGGGGCTCCCGAGGGAACCGCGAAGCGCTGTACGGGGTGCGGGGGACGCATGCGGCCTCGGCCTCTGGGGCCTTCGGTGGAGCCCCCGAGGGCCCGGCGAAACGCTCTACTGGGTACGGGGGGCGCATGCGGCCGCGGACACTGGGGCCTTCGGTGGAGCTCCCTATGTGGCCACGAAGCGCTGTACTCGGTGCGGGTGACGCATGCGGCCGCGGACTCTGGGGCCTTCGGTTGAGCTTCCTCAGGGGGGCCACAAAACGATCTGCAGGGTGCGGGTGACGCATGCGGCCGCGACTATTGGGGCCTTCGGTGGAGCTCCCTAGGGGGGCACGAACAGCTGTACTGGGTGCGGGCGACGCATGCGGCCGTGGCCACTGGGGCCGTCGGCGAAACCTCCTATAGTGTCACGAAATTCTTTAGCGGGTGGGGGAGACGCATGTGGTCGCGGCCGCAGGGGCCGTTGGTGGAGCTCTGTAGGGGGGCACGAGGCGCTGTACTGGGTGTGGGGGACGTATGCGGCTGCGGCCTCCGGGGCCTTCGGTGGAGCTCCCCAAGGGGCCACGAAACGGTCCACTGGGTGCGGGGGACGCATGCGGCCGCGGCAACAGGGGCCTTCGGTGGAGCTCCCGATGGGGCCACGAAGCGCTGCACTGGGCGCGGGGGGCGCCTGCGGCCGCGGACTCTGGAGCGTTTGGGCACAAATCGCTGTACTTGGCGGGGGGTGGGCGCATTTGGCCGCGGTAACTGTGGCCTTCGGTGGAACCCCTCAGGGGGCCACGGGGCGCTGTACCGGGTGGGTGAGACGCTTGCGGCCGCGGCAACTGGGGCCTTCGGTGGATCCCCCTGGGGGGGGTGCACGAAACGCTGTACTGGACGGGGGGGATGCATGTGGCGGCGGCCATTGAGGTCTTTGCTGGAGCTCCCTATTGGCCACGATCTGCTGTACTGGGTGCGGGGGCGCTCATGCGGCTCTGGCCACTGGGGCCTTCGGTGGAGCTCCCTATGGGACCACGAAGCGCTGTACTTGGTGCGGGAGACGCATGTGGCGGCTGCCTCTGGGGCCTTCGGTTGAGCTCCCTCAGGGGGTGCACGAAACGATCCACTGGGTGCGGGGGACGCATGCGGCGGCGGCCACTGGGGCCGTTGATGGAGCCCCCATGTGGGGCCCCACGAAGCGCTGTACTCGGTGTGGGGGACGTATGCGGCCGCAGCCTCTGGGGCCTTCGGTGGAGCTCCCCAAGGGGCCACGAACAGATGTACTGGGTAGGGGGACGCATGCGGGCGGCCGCGGCCACTGGGGCCGTCGGCGGAGCTCCGTAAAAGGGCTACGAAACGCTGTATAGGGTGGGGTGACGCATGCGGCCGTGGCCACTCGGGCCTTCGGTGGACTTCCCTACGAGGCCATGAAGCGCTGTGCTGGATGTAGCGGCGGCCATTGTGTAATTTGCGCGGGGGCGTGCATGCGGCCGCGGCCTCTGGGGCCTTCGGTGGAGCTCCCTAAGAAGGGAGGCCACGAAACGGTGTGCTGGGTGCGGGGGGCGCATGCGGCCGCGGCCACTGGGGCCTTCGTTGGAGCTTCCCTTGAGGCCACGAAGCGTGTGAGGGGTGTGGCGAAACGGGGGCATGCGGTGGTTGGCCAAGGCGTGCGACGAAGGTCGGCCTCGGTTAAATCCTGGGCTTGCCACTTTGGGCCCAGGTCGCAGGCCGCACCCCCTTGGCCTTGGGGGGGTGTGGGGGGGGCTACACGGGGAATCCCAAGAACCTATCCCCTAAACGATTCGCCAGGCGAAGGACCCAACCATATGTAGTTGTGAGTACCGCAGTTATGAGTATCGTCTTGGGTGGAGCTCCCCATTGGGCCACGAAACGCTGTGCTGGGTGGGGGAGCCGCATGCGAATGTCACAGGGGCCTTCGGTGGAGCTCCCTATGGGCCACGAAACGCTGTACTGGGCGGGGGAGGCGCATGCGAACTTCGCCACTGTGGCCTTCGGTGCAGCTCCCTATGGGCCACGAAACGCTGTACTGGGCGGGGGAGGCGCATGCGAACTTCGCCACTGTGGCCTTCGGTGCAGCTCCCTATTGGCCACGAAACGCAGTACTGGGTGGGGGAGACGCGTGCGAACTTTGCCACTGGGGCCTTCGGTGGAGCTCTCTATGGGCCACGAGACGTTGTACTGGGTGGGGGAGGCGCATGTGGACGGTGCCACTGGGGCCTCCGGTGAAGCTCCCTGTGGGGTCATGAAACGCTGCACTGGGTGAGGGAGACGCATGCGGAAAGTGCCACGGGGGCCTTCGGTGGAACTCTCCATAGGGCCACGAAACGCTGTGGTGGGTGGGGGTAGCGCATGCAGACGGTGCCACCAGCGCCGTCGGTGGAACTCCCTATAGGGCCACGTACAGATGTACTGGATGGGGGAAACGCCTGCGGGTGGTAGCGCTGGGACCTTCGGTGGAGCTCCCCATAAGAGCGCGAAACGCTGTGCTGCGTGGGGGGGACGCATGCGGGCGGTAACACTGGGGCCGTCGGTGGAGCTCCCTATGGGGCCACGAAACGATTTTGGGTGGGGGACGCATGCGGGCGGAAGCACTGGGGCCTTCGGTGGAGCTCCCGATGGTGCCCAAAAGCGCTGAACTGGGTGGGGGCGGCGCATGCGGGCAGTAGCACTGGGACCTTCGGTGAAGCTCCCGGGGCCACGAAACGCTGTACTGGGTGGGGGGGCGCATGCTGGCGGTAGCGCTGGGACTTTCGGTGGAACTCCCATGAGGTCACGAAGCGCTGTACTGGGTGGGGGAGACGCATGCGGACGGTGCCCTTGGGGCCTCCGGTGGAGCCTCCTTCCTTTGGGGCCATGAAGCGCTGTACTGGGTGGAGGGGGCGCATGCGGCCGGTAGCACTGGGACCTTCGGTGGAGCTCCCTGTAGGGCCACGAACAGATGTACTGGGTGGGAGGGGGGGCGCTAGCATTGGGACCTTCGGTGGAATTCCCTATGGGGCCACCAAATGTGTGACGGGTGCAAGGGATGGGAGGAGCGGGAGGAGGGGTAGGATGAGCGGAGGGAGGGAGGAGAGTGGGAACACGGGGCGCTGTTTCTTCAAAGCGTGGGCCCAACACCACAGCATGGTTGGGAGTATATCTCCCTGCTGGACACTACAAAGAACAATCGCGGCGAGATCCGCCACTCCCAATCAAGAGAGAGAGAGAGGGCCGATGCTGCATTATGCAGCTCTGTACCCTGACAAGCCCCCTCAGCCGGATGGGCTCGGTAAGTATGGGCAGAAAGGTGACTTCTCGTGTGCCAGCTGCGGCAAAGCATGAAATCATCCATATTTTTGCCGGTGAGCGGTCCGCGCGTCGATCCACGCGTCGACGTACCTCACCGGCGGCGCAAAGACGTCGAGCGGCACTGGCCGGCAACTACCGCGTGACAGGGGGGACGGACTCATTCAGCGTATCGGACGCCGTGCTGCCCTCCCTCCCCATGCCCCGTCTCGGCCTGAATGGCGCGGGCCCGCTCCGGAAGCTCCTGCACAAGGTCCTGCACCGCCTGGGCGTAGTGGTTTGTCGCGTCTTCCTGGGCTCACTTTTAACAGCCAGCAACTGCGAGAGACGGAACACGGAGCAGGATCCTGCCGTCGGGGCCGCCGCCAGGCACAGGCAAGTTCAAAGTCTCGACAGGGCGAGCTCGCCCTGAAGACAAAATCACTATAGATGCTCCCGATTTTGCTGCGCAGTCTGGCAGCGCCGGGAATAGAGAGACGCACTAACTTAACGCTTTATGGGTACTGTCACAAGTGGCCCTTGCTTCAGCACTGTGACAAGACGCGCCAGTGCAACGCAGAACTTGCGTGGATACGCAACCCCTCGTTGGTATTGAACCCACCCTGGGGCAGGAAACCCCGGGGCTGTTGGCGGGGGCGATGAGCGCGGCTAGAAATGCCCCGCCTGGGGCCAATACAGCGAGAAGCCCGAAACGGTCCTGGGTTCAGGTCGCCAAGCGTCGGAAGGCGCGCCCCACTGACGCGTGGAAGTAATGTGGACTGCAGCGGCCCGACGTCGAGCCAAAACCTTTAAGCGGGGGAGCAACCATAACCTAGACGTCTTCGGTTTCCCAACGCTCCAAGGGATGCGCAAAGA